ATCATCTCAGCTGGAGAGATCCGGTCATATTTAGATCCAGAGATTCTGATCATTTCTCTTCAAGGGAAAATCCATACAGAATGTCACCGGTAAAGAGGGGAGGGCTGGGAAAATGATGGATTGCGTTTATCACACTCAATTATGTGCTTGAGAAAAGTGATTTGACTCAGTATGAGAGAGAAAAAAAGAAAGACAATACTGATCACACCCTCTTACAATATTGGATTTCCAGTGATGATACCATAAAATGTCACTGCGGGGAAAAGATCTGTCATGCACAAGCACATAACACAAATAATCACGGTTTACTATATTACGTTTGTTGTGATTATCAAAGATATTAAGTTTTAAGGTGGTTGCAATGCATTTCAGGTAAAAGTGCAATAACTTTCATCAGATCGCAGTGTAAAGCACAATAAAATCACTGACTAACACCTATAAATGCTGAACTACGTCACATCCTCATATAAAACAATTGCCATCTGATTAGAGCTTAATTCAGAGACAAGACTTCTGTTGAAACAAAGTGATGAATATGCAGTCAAAAGCACATGGACAGAACATCTAGCGGTTCACTGTGACATTTTGATGTTATATGCCATCTTTTTTTATGATGCTTAAAAAGGCAGTAGTATGTGATTTTTGAAATCTGAAAGCATGTGGCATATCTGATTTTAAGAGAGTGAAAATCTGAATCATTGCCTTCGAGATGGTCGCAGACTTGACAGGCTCTCGCTATCCATCAAGACATTCAAAATGCTGTGGAAAAAAATGTCAGAATGTGTCATTCAAAAAGATCTCATATAAGACTCATATATCAGGTGTTGTATTTATTTATTTATATTAAATTAAAAATATAGATTCAGGTAACAAAACTGTGAAACAGTATTTAAATGCTCTAGCTTTGGGGAATGGGAAAGCTGTGGTGAAGAAATTTACTGTGACCAGAGCTGAAGATGGGCGTTAAAAATGACAAGACTTGACTTTAGTTTTGATGAGCCGTCACTCAATAACAACGTGGCCAAATGAACACCACTCCAGGCAATTAGTCCACTTGACAGCATGAATAATACACTCTGACTTACGGATCTCTTGGAGGAACACCATGGCGGATGTATTTGAGAAGGTTGAGCTCAGCTTTTGCCGTCATTTTTCACCGTGTTTGCGCTCACGGCCCTCGGCTAAGCCTGAGCTCACGGTGCGGTTGGCTGCAGATGTGAAGAGATGGGAGATCGTGCATGAATATGAATTACATACTGAGAAAGAACTAGACACTACCCATATGACCAGGACTAAAGTCAGGAGAAGCCTAACTGGAGTTTAGAGAGATTCCTGGGAGATACAAATGCTATCGTCACACAGCTGCAGATTCCCCACGCTGGATTCTGTACAAAAAGAGAAAATTGTGGGGTGATGGAGGGAGGCTATACCTGACAGAAAGAAAACATCTCCTACCTCTTGAACACGGGCAGAGGTTAAAAAACACAAAAAGCACCAAGCCGGGCTACATACGGTCACGAAAAAACACACCAAAGTACTAAAAGAACCTGCAAGATCTACAAAATCAAATATGTGCTGTTCAAATTACAGATATATACAGCCATGAAATAAGAATAACCGGTCACACACAATATACGTGAACAAAACATAATGGGGAAAAAAAGGTCAGTCCAAAAAGAGCATAAGTTTCCCAGCTATTTACAAATACATCTGGCCAATTCAACTGTCTATAAAAATACTATTCACATTTTCTCATTGACGTACAGTAGTAAAATCATGAGGAACAACCATTCCAAATGTCAATGTTGCAGGAAGGTGTTTTTCTTCCCCTTTTTTTTTGTCCTTTGTAATATAAAATGCTTTTTTTAACTGTGCTTAGTCTACCGATACTTTCTGACTACCTTGCCACATGCAAAATAAGTTCCAGTGAGCATTGCAAAAGAAATGATAAAAGAAAATACAAGGAAAGGGGGCACAGCTAATGAGAAGGACCCAAAAGAACAAACCTGTGCTTGTTTGCATCTTTGACACTGCAGATTTGATATGTAAATACACATGATCAGATCAGACACATTAACACTGTAAATTAATTTAATTGTTGGTGTTAAACATTAAGTGCCCTAACATACTGTAAGTACCTTAACAGTAATGTGATCACAGAAACTGAAACGCATTGTATTTTGTAAAGCTTATTGCCTCTCTATACTGTAAAATATACGATGACATGGTCATTATAAAAGAGCTGTAGGGCCCATTAAAACATATTAAGGGGATTTTAAGTGTCATGTATATTGCAACTAGCTGATAAATATGTTAAAAATGAGGGAGAAAAGCTAAAAAAATGATCAAAGGGTGAATTCACTAAGCACTTTTGAATTAGATTTTTGAACTCAAAACGCAACACTTTCTAACCAACCACCCACAGTTCAGTTTAACCAAACACTAAATGTGGCAAAATAGTTTCTGCGCTGTATTTACTGTAAATTAAGTCTTTATTATTTTAGCATACACATGCCTTATGTAAATTGGGTTCATTAACTCAGTGGCCTATTACTCTTAACAGAAATCAGGCAGTAAACCTACACATAAAAGACGTTGTTGATCATTAATTGAATGATGGAGAAGAGCATGACAACCAGCACACTAAGCATTTTGAAGAGTTGATTCAAGAGTGTTGCACTGAAACTTAGTGAACTCAATCTTCAGATTTTTTAAAGCAATGTTTAAAAAAAAGGCGGAACATAAGCCTTCACCAGTATCTTGCTACTCTTGATTTAATAATTATCTTCAAGCCCCTTCAGGTATATATACACAAGTTCATGTCAAGATGTCTTTCACATGTTCTTCTAGATTCTGCTAAATGTGAGTCACCAATGAACAATGTGCAGTGAGACAAAATGTTTGTGCTCCATCCAATCCTCCTAGAAAGTGGAAATGTTTCCAAAGAGAATGAGTTCCATCCTCTAACAGTCTCTAATTGTGAAAGCCTTCACAAACAGTCACCCTCACATTTCAGGCATTCTTCTCCCTCTATTTTGGCCTAGTTGTGGCCAAATTCACTGATGGATTTAGTAGATCTTTACCCACCCTGTATTCACAGCAGTTGCTACATATAGATTTAGACACCCAGACCTGCGGTGACATTATCAGTAGCATATGCACAAGGTCCTTGCCTTTAATTAGGCTAAGAGAAGGTAACCGAAAGCTTCAACCCTCTTGGAAATTGTACGCAAGAGGGTTTTCATGGAGTTTGTACTTCTTTGGGATTTTGATAACCCCAACCAGAATCCTGTAAATAACTATGCACTGGGTTCATAATAAATACAAGAAAGCTGAATAAAAAATATAATTTGGCCTTAGTTCTACACACTGTACTTTATAACTGTTAAACTACTTTCCAAATTCTATAGGAGCTAAAATAAAGCAATTTCAAGTATCAGTTTTGTCCTGTAAAGGCGTCTTATATTATTGTTATAAGTAATCTTATAGCATTACTGCGACCCACCTTAAATTCTGCCCTAATTGCATTATTTTTAAGAATAAAAGCTTGAGATAAATACTTCAATTAGTAAACATCTGTGTTTGGCAAAATTACTGCGCGCCACTAACATTCCCTGATTTTGTTTCTAGTAGAGAGCCAAAAATGTCATTTGTCTAATCTGTTATCACATGGGAACAGCAATTCCCACAATGAAAATAACTCTGCTCTATCTTTGTTATGTTCATTAATTAAAGTGCTCCATGTAACCATAAACCTTCATATTCATAAGCACAAAAAAAAAACATACAAAGGAAAAAAAAATGATAGAGCAAAACAAACGTATGTGGGCGGGTGGTGTTTGCTATCGTCATGTAGCTATGATTATAATAAATGAGTATTCAATCAGTGCCGTTAGTGTTTAAAACAAACTCATGTGGCTGTGCCAGGCTGTTAAGTGCTATAAAACCATTTCACATCTCCAACCAAGCAACACAACAACATTACTATTCCCCTTAACAGAAAAGCATAGTGACTGGCAGTGTTCAAAACTATACACAAATCTAGCCGTAGAAACCTGGATGGCGTGGTTTTACCGAAGATGTAGCAAAGTTGTTTTCCACCATTTGAGGAGAACAACATGTACAAATAAGCTGCGTTATCTTCCTAAATTCCTATCCGTGTAGTTCCATGAGACGCTTCTTATAGAAAAGTCATTATGGGAGACAGTTCAAATGGAGTTGACAGATTTGAGGCAGTCTCATCTCTGACCTCGGGGCAAATATTCCATTCGTACGTTCTCATTTGTACCTCATGGTACTACATGATGGTACTCCTGCCTTCTTGATTTCAAAACGTCTCTCACTGTTGCAGTTTTAATGAACCCAGCTAGAAAAAGCTGCAAGTCTTGTGCATCTTATCCACTCGCATGTGGGTGAAGTTTAAATAGTTCTAACAGTTTTCCGGCCATATTTCAGAAGAGGAGCCAGGCGTTGTGTGCTGTCGAGTCTTCCGTACAAACCTGGGCCTCTGTAGCTGTGTAAATATCCGTTCACCACTGTACGTCCATCTACATGGATGCTCTTGGTTGCTAGTATCGATTTTAGCTTCTAAAGTTCAAGGTAGACCCAATCTGGGTTTTCGTTCCACACATTAAATGACAAAATAAGGAAGGCTACCTTAAGGTGACAACTTTGTGAGCATACCGATCAATGCTGGCTAGATCAACAATAAAAACGTTATTACAGTAGACTGTTGCAGATCTGCTTTTATGAAGTTATTGATTTTGTGGCGGGCTGCAGTACGGACTCATTCATATGCGTGCTGATACTGTTCTCAGCGTGGAGCGCTTGTCTTCATCAAGTTGCCTTTACACGTGTAGTTTTACAGGCATATAATATGGACCGCAGGACTGTTTCCAGTTGGCAATCGTTCCAGTCTTACTTAAGAATCAAAAATGAAGAATGGCTCAATAGAAGTAATAAAAAATGTCTTGTTTGAGCAATACATGTGCAGATGAATTATGCAGATATTTTGAACAGAACATTACACATTGTGTCTTTTGAAGATGTGCCATTCGAGAAGGTGGTGATCAAAGGTCCCAGTTGACACCATGCTGTAATGAACATATGTTTTGTTGTATATAACAGCATGTAGCGTACAGCCAGGCCTGTCGCTTACTTTTTTTCAGTCTCAAACAGTAGGCGACATTGAGGACCATTTTGGGCCCTTTTGTCCCAAGGCCCACAACGATATTCCCAATACGGCAGATTTGCATACAACACATCTGCCTCATAAAATCATGTATGGAGTGCTAAAATAAACTATGCTATCCGAAGTCATAAATTACAGCAGATCTTATCGTAGCTTCAAAACAAAATCCCAAAACAAGATAAATGATAAACATTTCTGTAATTGCACAAAAGAATGACTCCTCTCTGCTATTGGATCAACCCACGTTGCACGTCAACGTCAGTACTTGCTTTCAATGAGATTAGTGTAGCATCTACCAAATGCTGGGAAGAGTTGGGCTCAGGTAGGGGAAACAGGTCTTAATGGTGATTGAAGTGAGGAGAGACAAGCAGGAAGGAGCTTTGATTGATGTTGCCATCTGTGACCAATGCCTCTGGAAGAGAAGCTCACTCAAGTGGATCAGTTCCAGGTCATTGGAGGTTGGGTGTTAAATCCAGTTCAGAGAGGAGCGGAGAGATTGGGATGCTGGTGTGAGAGCCAGGGTGAGAACACACTATGACTCTCTCTTTACCTCCAACTTTTCTTGTTTGTCTTGGTCATTGTTGCTACACAACAGTGTTTCTCTGGCGGTAGGGAGGAGGTGGCAACACGGTGCCCGGTTTTAGTGCATACTCGGACAGGTACTCCTGGTTCTCAGCCACGGCGGGTCGGATCCGCCCGTTTTGCCGGTAGAAGAAGCGTGTGCTGCAGTCCTGCAGATACTCGGGGTTGTGGAGAGTGGCCTTGGGGGGAAGACTGTGCTGCCAGTACTCAGGATTGTCAAATGTCTTTTTGGGCTTTATGTCGGCCTTGATGGTCCCGGAGTGAGCGGGATGGAGGGTGTGCATCAGGTGGAGTGGGTGTCCGGGATGGGCAGAGTGGGGGGTGTGGCCTGAGAGGGTGGAGATGCTTTGTTTGCCTTGGTAGAGAGGCTGTGTTGTGATGTGGGCATTGGATGCCGCTGGTTGCATTGTTTGGGAAAGGTTCTGGCTGGTGGAAGTTCCACTATTTGCTGCTGCTGCTGCTACTACTGCTGCTGCTGCCGTGTGTGCCACGGGGTTCTTCCTCAATACGTCGTGACTCTTTTCCCCAGAGTTATGGAAGGTGTTGAGGTACAACGGGTCATTGACATACTCATCCTCCACTTTGGGCTGCCCGTTGGAGGTACTGTGGTAACCTCGCTCGAGTGTGTGGACCTCTCCGTTTCTGCGATGGGTGACAAAAGGGTTCTCCTCCACAGGGTTGAGATAATCTGCATGAGAAAAGAAAAGAGCTGTCAGAAGAGAGGAGGTTGGCAGGATGAGAACATTGTGGCAGCTAGCGCTCTAAGGTAAAGCCGACTACCATTGATCTCAGCAGGTTTTCTATACAGACTCAACAGGATGCTCTCTGAAGTCCTAGAGTTATAGTAAATCCAAGTTCTCTTCATGAACATTTTTGCTAGAGTTTACTTCAGTATACTTTACAGAAAAATTATTGAGGTTACAAAGTGTGCTAGTGAGCCCATGACTGTGCAAGAATGAACACAAATTAGCCCAAGATTCAGTAGCTTCTTTTCAAACTGTCCTAAACTCTTAATGTCTTAGCAACTTTTATGAAATTTCAAAGGGATTAATCACTGCTTTGAACCCTGGGTTATGAAAAACTGCTTGATAGTATGTTTAATGCAGTTTTAGTGGGTACTGAGTACTGGTGCTATAGCTAAGCAATTTTAAACAAGAGGCTGGTTGTTTAGCAGGATTCCTGTAAGTAAATTAGCATGTTAATTTCTTAACGGATAAAAGTATTTGTCTTGATGCAATGTCAGTCACTTTAGATAAAAGAGTGTAATCTTAATGTAATGTTTAGGAGCAGACAAATAATCACAAATTCTCTCAAAGCTTTTCTCATTAAATATTATGAGCTTTGTAGTCAGAAACTTTTACAGGTTCTATGTAGTTTCAACATTTAAGGAAAAGGCAAAAAGGTCACAGTGATTGCAAATTCTGTCATTCTGTCATCATTCACTGACTTACTTTCTTCTTTAAAAGAGGAAAGAACAAAGATGTCTCAGTATTTTTGTGTTCATACAACGAAAGTCAGTGGTCTCCACAACTGTTTGGTTTCCAACATTCTTCAAAATATCTTTTGTGTTCCATTGTAGAATGTCAATCTTACAGTTGTGCAATCGCATGAGGGTGAGTAAAAGACAGAATTTTTATTTTTAGGTGAACTATCCCTTTTAAAACGACCAGAGTGGATATGGTGAAATTTACACAGATGGACAAGCAGTTATTAAAAAAGGTTTTGTGCTGTATTTGTTGAGGCAATATTATTAACCTTGTAAATATCAAGAACATAACCCAGGTTTCTCAAATTTACAAAGTGAAATTTCAAAACCTGACTACACAGGATTAATTACTAAACACTGGGTAACAACCTAAACAGTGCGAATCATTGAAAAAACACAACCGAAGGTTACAAATGACACTGGATAAATAATTTCAAGTGTAAAATGCATAACAGAGCTCTGTTAGATCAATCTCCTCGCTTGCTCCAGTTTATCCTTCCAGTACCTGAGGGCTTTTTGTCCTGCATGGCGCTCATGTATCCATCCTGGTCGGTCTCAGCTCTTGCTCCGCGCTCACACAGTATCATAGTTGGATCTGCGCTGTAGCGCTGGCCACTGCTGTCCTCCCCGGTGCTCGCCCTGGGTGAAGCCTTCTTCCTGAGAGTGCCATTACAGCGACTGTCTTCAAATGCCTCAGAGGATCCCGAGGCCCCCTGCTGGGTCATAGATTGCTTCTGAGCAGAACAGCCTGGGCTGACCGCGGACACAGCCACAACCCGCGGGATAGTGGCCATCATCTCCTCCATGCCGAAGCTGCCGTCCTGGTACGCAAACTGGTTCTGCAGAAACACAAATGAGCCTTTTAGTATCTTCGGCATGATCTATTTCTGTTTGCTTTACAATTAAACACTTCAAGAGAGGCAAATATTTTATGCCAGCGAGGCTCCAAATATTAATACAGTTTATGAGATTTAATGAAAACTTGGCAACAGTGAATGAACAGACGAGTGTGTAGGAACACAGCTCTCCTGATGCAATTAGAAATCTCATCACAATTAAACTATTTGTTTTTTCTTGTTCCTAATCCTCAGACTCTCCATCTGCCTGTCTTTGTTTCTAGCTCTTGTTGTGAGTTTGATTTTCGTTAAGTGCTGAGGCGGCAAGACTGTAGCAAAAAGGCCAAGTACATTTTTAAGGTATAAGATGGTAAAACCATGTTACTATAATACAGTACCATGGTACTAAATGATCACCATATTTCTGCCTTATGGTATTTTAAATGGTTCTTTAAAGCACTTCAGAGAAAACCATGGTATTACCATATCTGAATTCAGTCACAATGATCCATTAATGTACTGTTTTGATTCTTTTGTTTTTAACTCAAGTGTTGCATAATGTTAAGCAGGCAGATTCATTTACTATGAACAATCTTCTTGTTTGGTTTGTGTTCATCAAAATCCCCCCCCAAAAACAAAAACCAAAGGATTTTTGTAAAGCATTTAATTCACTGGATTATTCAAAACAAGATGGTTATCTGACTATTTTTAATCGAATTTGCAACTATAGTGTGATACTCACATGGTAATACCTAGTACCATAGTACTTTTCTACTGATGCTGTGATCTCTCTGCAGTAAGTCTGCAGGTGTTCTGTCTGCTCAGAGAAACACTGGCTATGTCCTCAATTCAGTGTCTGTTTCCTCATTTCCCCTTACCACTGACATTTTCTCTGCTTCTCCACTAACCACAAAACACCCATCTCATCTCTCTTTCTCTTTCTCCATCCATGTCTTCTCCAGCACCCATCCATGATGCTGTTTGAGCACACTGGAGCTCATTGCTGTGAATGAAGAGTGCTGCTGGGCAGACCATTACTCTAAAGAAGAGGAACTAAGAGTTGAGACTGTCACAACTAATGTAAAACTATACTTGTGTAAGGAGTGGGCAGTATCATTAAATGCCATATCATGAAATGAGTAATTTTATATCTTTACATAGTTATTGTCTTATAGAAAGTAACTGAAAGTGTATATAAATAAACATGGTAATGCCCATTATTGGATAATCTTGAGAATAAAAGGCTTCAGATTTAATTTGAGTATTCAATAAATCAAATTTGCAGTTTACAAGGAATAACAATTATTTTAAAAGTATAAAATAATTTATACAAAGTAAACATGAAAATATAAAGCTTAATAAAGTATTTAATGTTTATGCCAAACCTAAAAAAAATAGCTTTTATCCCAGTATCCCATTAAACATTTACAACCCACTGACCAAGGATGAGTTGAAAGACATGCACAAAAATGCTTTACGCTTTTTCCATTATGCTCAAACTTCAAAACATTTTGAGTGGAGATGAATTTGAGTTAATATTGCAATCCGCTATTTGGGTTATTTGGCAGAGTTTTGTTTTTCCAAAGCTCAGTTTATACGGCAAACTGCAGGCGAAAGATTTCTGTAATGTTCCAAAGAGGCTCTGAAGGATTGATGTCCCTCATTGATATTCATACCGCTCACTCTCTTTTCTCTCCCAGTTAGACGAAAACAAAACGCAAGTTAGAATGCAAAATGGCACACATGGTTTGCGAACACGGTCCAGACGAAAAGAGGAAACATTTCATCACACCCACCCCTCCCACACACTCTCACACCCTCGCTAAATCCGTTCTAAGTCCCTGGCAAAGACTGATTGAACCCTGAGATTTTGTCTTACTAAGTTACAGTTAAGAGCTGTTTGAGATGCATCCCAATCGGTTGTCCGTTCCCATTGCCGCTGCGCACACCAACAGTTAATAACGTGCTCATGGCTGACTAACACAGAGCAAATACCCACTCTGGACTTCCTGTCAATGGGTAAATATCATCTTCACTTTAGTGAGGATCCAGTTATTTATACTGGTATGCCTCTGTAATGAAAGCCCATTATAGGCACACGTATTGAGGGCGATTTTATTTTTTTTCTTCCTCCGCTCTACAGGAAAACCTTAATGCATGTCACAAAAAGCACTGCTGCTTTTGAAAATGCTAAGACAAATTAGCACCTGTAAATAAAAAAGACTGTGTGAATCTCAGCATTTCAATAGCCTTTATCAATAGGGGGGGATTATCGAATTGTGAGACTTCCTTTTCTTTTCTCAACGGCAGACAGGTTCGTTGTGGGAGAGCGTAGCATCTGTCAGTGCAGGAATGGTGGGCCGGGCTTTCTGGGATGCTCGTGTGGGCGGCACTTAATTGGCCAGGGGAGCATCCATCCACTCCAAGGTCAACGTCAGTTAGATGATGGACTCATCTGAAAACTCAATTCAGCCTCAGACAAGCAATAAATAGAGCTTCATGGAGTGAGAACTAAAAGTGCATTAAAATGTAAAAGGTATCCTAAAATATGTAAATATGTGCAAAATGCCCAAATGTGGATGCATGATGTATGTTCAGTGCATCAACGACCTCTTGTCCTTTGCCTGCTAAAGACATATTTCAATATTTGACAGGACTCGTGCTATCCTGAAGAGTGCCACCTAAGTGAACTGATTCTCTTCAAACTTTTTACCAAAACAGAAATCTAGAGCTTATTATGATTTCAAGTATTGAGATGAAGTGATAGGTACATTAAAGAAATGCAAAAATGACAATCCAATGACTTTGAAAGACTTTACACAATTGCATAGACAAAGTACAGTCCGATTTAGCCACTAAACACTGACTGATTCCAAAGTCCCTTACGATACATTCAAATTAGATACTATCGTTCAAAGGATTGGGCTCAGTACTTTTAATAAGTTTGAAAGAAGTCTCTTAGGCTCAAAAAAGGCTGGATTTATTTGATCAAAATAGTAAAAAGAAAAAAAACAGTAATATTGTGAAATATTACAATTTAAAACACATTTTCTATTTTTAATTTTCTATTTTCTTTTTAAATATAATTTAGTTATGTGATGGCAAAGCTAAATTTTCAGCAAAAAGCATTGAATCTTTTCATCATGTTGAAACCATGATAAAAAAAATTTTCAGGATATTTGATGAATAGGGAGTCCACAAGAATATATAATAATGTAGATTTTTTTGGTAACAATTTAAAAGTCTTTACTGTCACTTTTGGTAATGCATCCTTGCTGAAAAAAAAACCTTGGTTACTACAAACTTTTGAACGGTATTATATATAAACACTCAAAACAAAAAATTTACAATTATTTTCTTTCAGGTTAGGTCTAGCCAATTCACATTTTGTGACATCAATCAAAAAGCAAGAACTGTTGTGAAGACCAAGCGATGACTTTGCAAACTGGCTCTTTTATGAGGAAGACATGCCTTCCATTACTAGAGCTTCCAAACTGGGCATTTCAATTTACCCCATTCATTGTAATACAAGTGGCCCGTCTCTGCTATACTGTCTCTGACAGAGTGTGGTTTATTAAATGACTCTGTGTGAGTGTGTGATCGGGTAGTACACTCACTCTGTTGGGGTCCATGCGTGATCTGGTTGTGTATGCCAGTGGAGGAATACTGAAGGCTTGTGGCACCAAATACTCCTCGGCATCCATCAGATCCTCCAGTTCCTCCTCATCTAGCAGACTCTGAAAGAACTTACTGTCATTGGGGCTGGGCAGCTTCATGCGGTCGTCCCCCTGACACAGAGAGCATTGGGCTTGAGATATCATGAAACAAGACTTTATGACGCTTATGTGTTTTATTTATCATTTGTTCTTTTATTTTATTATTGTACAGCACATCATGGCCATTTGAGCCCAGCAGTGAGGCTCTTACCTGGATGACTAGGTAACGTTGTGGATCTCTTGCCATACGGCTGAACTCTGCTGCAAGCTCCTTAAATCTGGGTCTGCTGTCTGCATCTATCATCCAGCCTGGGGACACACATAGCACAACTTCAGTCAGCAAAGTAGAACACAACGGATAAACAATGCTGTGAGCTTTCTGTACATTTAATAGAAGGTTCTGGCTTCAGCATCTGCGAAATGCTGACAAATACCAAAGAAATCATTTTCCCTCTATTTTTAAAACAATAGAAAATGTGTTTAAAATAACGCACATAACAATATGCTGATAAGTTGATAAGTTCATCCGCCTAGAACAGTAGAGCGCATTAACAACTCAAATAACATATTTTATACAGAGCAATTAAAATAAGTGATTTAACAAAACTGCAAGCTTCATATTTCTGCAGTGAAATTCTCTGGAATTAACTTACTTTCATGGTAAGTTCTGTAAACATATTTCTATCCCAATATTGTTTCCGGGTCCAAGCCTCTACTCGGTTTCAAGTAAGAACACATCTCAATAGCTGTTTAGTTCATGACTCACAATGTCCCAGACACCAGTATTTTAATTATTCAGAAAAGATGTAGCACCGTTTGTTGTTTGCTTTTAATTTATTTTAGTACAATTTATAAACTATTTTAGAAAATAAATATTTTGAATTAGCTTTTTTTATTTTCGGTTTCTTTTTAGTTTTAGTATTTTTCTTATTTTGTATATTTATTTTTATTTCAGGTTAAGTTTTGGTAATTTTTATATTTTAACTTTTTAATTTTTTTAAAGTTTCCTCTGCAGCATATCTAATTTTTCTTTTTTCATCAGATATTTATATAGTATTTTATTTTAGTTTTATTTCAATTAGCAATTCTAATAGTTTTAGTTTTAGTTAACAAAAACAACATTGTTATTTAGGATCTGAAGGAACATTTGTAAACACATGACGTCAGACTTAAACTGATCAACAGGCTGAGAGAAAAACAGCTGTACTGAACAACTGTGTCACAATAAAAACATTAAATCATGTTGATGCATTTTAAATGTCTTAATAAATAACCTACAATTTCTTATTGATAATTATGTAGCAGTTTACTTATACACAACAGGATTCAAAGGTCACTGACCTACAGTATAAACTCAAGGTTTCCTTAGCTGACCTGCTTGAACACTAAATAAAAACTTCTACCATGATGTGTCATGGGTGTGAAGAAAAAAATATTTGGGATGAAATTTTGTGCAAAGCTCCCTTACATTTGACCATGACCATGTAGACGTCAATAGTGCAGATGGGAGGTTGAGGAAGCCTCTCTCCTTTCTCCAGAAGGTCAGGAATCTCTCGGGTTGGGATTCCATCGTACGGCTTTCCTCCGAATGTCATCAGCTCCCAGATAGTCACTCCTGGAAGAAAATCCAATAAACATCAATTTAAAAGCTTGTAGGCATGTGTTGAGACTGTCGGGTCGGTGTTTGTCTGATTCATACAGAGTCTAACTGCATGAAAACACTTGAAATTAGACTTTAAATAAGATAAGTTACATTTTACTGAAGCAATTAACTGCAATTAAGGCTCATCTCACCGTAACTCCATACGTCACTCTGATGGGTGAATTTCCTATAGTGGATGCACTCCAAAGCCATCCACTTTATAGGCATCTGACAAAACAAGAGGGAACAGTGGATCATGTTGAATAAAAAATGCACAATTATACAGTACATGAAAATGTAATAAAGTAACAAAATTAAAATAAAATAGCACTCATCAAGTGAGCACAGCAAGTACTGCTTTATTGTTTATTTACGCAACTTGACAAAGTTTCTTCAAAGCTTACATTGCTAAAACCAAACCTTATCACAGAATCATGCATTATATATTAAGTCTGGAACGTTCATATTTCAGAAATGGAATAATCAATGATATCTGATTCTTTTCATCTTTTGCTATTGGAAGAAACAGGTTGGGCTAAATGTGCGTGCAGTGCTGCTCGGCATCAAACCACGCTAAAGCTTTAGAGTTTTTCCTCTGTGGGAGAACAAACATGGTTGATTTAAAAAGGTAGATGGTTGGAGCTGAATAGAACAGAGTCCCAGGGTGCTCTATTCTGGTACAGCACAAAGAGGGAGATTCAGATAGATAAGATGGAATGTGTACATGAAGTGAAGTGCAGGAAAAGGACACAGCTGCAGGTGGGTGGAAGTTTGTTTGAAATGAAAAGGTGCAGAGAGGATGGAAGAGTGACTCTCTGCCACAATGTTAGGGTAGGTTGGTTACCAGGGTGTTGCTATGCTTTTGCTATGTATTTTTTTTTGTTATTTCTAGTGCGTTGCTATTGGGTTACTTGGGCTTACTAGTTCTGGGTGGTTCCTTACTGATGAAAGATAAAAGTCAAATGATATTTCTTATTTAGGGTATGGCTTTAGTGGCAATAAATAAATAAATAAATAATTAAATTATTGAAAAACTTTAAAACTCTATAGTAAATACCTGTTAATTGGTTTACTGTAAGTTTTACAGTGAAAAACTGTAGATGGTTTAACATTACATGTAGTTTCACTATAAAATACTGTTTTTTGCAAGTAAAAACTATGTAATACCATATACAGTGCCTTGCGAAAGTATTCATACCCCTTCATTTTTTTCACATTTTGTTATGTTCCTGCCTTATGTTAAACTGCTTTAATTTACTTTTTCCCACATCAATCTACACTCCATTCACCATAATGGTAAAGCAAATTTATTAAAAATAAAAAACTTAAATGATTCCATTGATGAGTTTGAATTATTACCATCAAACCAGAGGTACAGAGTCCCAAGATTCAACAAAGTTAGGCTGAAACACTCTTTTGTGCATCAGGCGATCCTGGAGCTGAATAAGACACTTAATCAAAAATCAAGAGTAATGTGAACATGGTGTAGTTGTAGAAGTGTAGTAGGAGGGTAAGGCATAATGTAATGTTTAAGGGAGTGTAATGTATATTGTGTTTTGTTTGTGTGTGGATGAAGTGCATGTTGTTGTTTAAAGGATGTTGATTGTTGTAAACACAGATACTGTCATGCAAGAAAAATTTCAGACTCGTCTGACAATAAAGTGTTATATCATATCATATCATATCATCATATTTATATATCTGGAACAGTGGAAATTTAGCTCAGGAGCATACATATTGCTTGTAGATGTCACTACACTTCGAGTGACGTTAACCTGTGGCAAATTCAATTGAATGGGAATGATTTGGAATGGCACACAGGTCTTAATAAAAGGTCTAACAGCTGATAATGCATATCAGAGCAAAAACCAAGCCCTGAGGTCAAAAGAACTGCCTGTAGAGCCCAGAAACAGGTTTGTGTCAAGCCACACATCTGGGGAAGAGTTCAGGAAAAAATTCTACTTCACTGAAGGGTCACAGAAGTATGTAGTCTCTGTTACCCTTAATGGAAGATCAGTGTTTTTCAGCGGCAGGGACCGAGGGACTCATCAGAGTAGAAGAAAAGCTCAATGCACCAAAATACTGAGATAGCCTTAATGAAAACCTAGTCCAGAGCACTCAGAACCTCAAACTGGGCAGAAGGTTCACCTTCCAACAGGACAATGACCCTATGCATACAGCAGGAGTCAGTTATAGACAACTCTGTGAATGTCCTTGAGTGGCCCAGCCAGAGCCTGAGCTTGAACCCAATTAAATATTTCTGGAGAAACCTGAAAATGTGCATCTGCCTCCATCCAACCTGACAGAGCTTGAGAGGTGAAGAGGTGAGGAGAAGAATGGCAGATAATTGCCAAATGCTGAAGAGCAAAGCTTGTCGCATCAAACAAAAAAGACTTGAGACTGTAAAGGTGCTTCAGCTAAATATTTAGTTAAGGGTACGAATACTTAACTGCAATGTACTTATTTCAGTTTTTTATATTAAATAAATTTACGAAGTTGTGACAGTTCTGTTTTTACTTTGTCAATATGGTATATGGAGTGTAGATTGATGTGGAAAAAAGTAATTTAAAGCAGTTTAACATAAGGCAGCAACATAACAAAATGTGAAAAAAATGAAGGGGTATGAATACTTTCGCAAGGCACTGTATGTATTGTAAACAGTAAAAGGACATTCCCGGTATATTTTAAACAAATAGTTTTGTTTCTTCTCATTTTTGTAACCACTAATTTACATTAGGGTGTTTTGTTAAACATTTTATGTTATTTAGTTTATTGCATTATTTTAGTGTAATGTGTTACAGTGACAGTGTTTTGTCTTTGTGTGTTTGACCCTGTGAATTGTTTATATGAGTACTGGCCATGTTTTATGGAAAGGCCATTTACAATAAACTCTGAGTCATCATGTGGCTTTATATTTTAATACCTGCATTATTATGGTGGTTATAAGTACATTTCAAGGCAAAGGGCTGATTTTGATATATTAACATAGTCACTTAATGAAAAATAGTGCCTGTATATTTTATAAATTGTAAAATATACAGGTACCAATATGCTATTCTGTAATACTTGAAACACTGCATTTTCTTTTTAGAATGAATATGCCTTTTTTTTTTTAAACAGAAAAAACAGGATTGATTCATTCATTCATTTTCGTTGTTGGATTTCTCCTTCAATGAAAAGCAAAAATCCTTTGCCCATTTCATCATGAGGCAAAAACTTTAAATCTGATCACTCAGAAAAATAAAAGCACATATTTCACACTGTCTAACTAGTCTGCATTTACTCTGGCTTTGATTAGTCGTGTATAGTGTGCACCAACATGATCCTTTAGAACCTGTGAGTTTTTGAATGTGTGCAGAGTGAAACCTTCTGTTTTGTAGTGTACATTTGGCCTTAGCAAACATTGTTAATTAGCCTGTCATTAGAGGCTGTGTTCTAAAACCCAGGGATGAATGTTAAGTGTAGCACATTTCTTGATTACTCAAAGCATTGTTACTCTAACACAAAGAGCACATATAAAATGATGTTATGCAAACAAGTCAGTGCGTGCCCTTTGTCTTGTTGGGGTCATGTGACACTGACCTTGCCCCCGTCTGCGTTGTATTCCTTCTCATCTGCATCCAGAAGGCGAGCCAGACCGAAGTCAGTGATCTTTATATGGTTGGGTGACTTCACTAGGACGTTCCGAGCAGCCAGATCCCTGTGCACAAGTCTCCTGTCCTCCAAGTACATCATACCCTGCATCAACACACACACACACACACACACATAGACTTTTTTAAAATCATCATCAATTACAGTGACAGTAATTTGACTGTTTGATTGTGTGACAATCAAAATCATCATCAACGCTAATAATAAGCGTGATGATACCATCTCACAAGCTAATCAAATTAATTAAAAGCAAAAATCATTTGAATAATACTGATTACATCTACAGTACTTCATTTGACAGATTACTGGTTAAGAAAATTTATATTACATATAATGTAAATTCAGTCTGGATATTTTTTTTGGATAGTTTTTCCCCCCACAGTACTGCCTAATTATATGACAAGTTGCCAGCTGTATCTTGAGTGTATATACCAAAACTAATTGGTGCTATTTTAGTATTAGTTATATACTATTATAGTATTTTTGATATTTTGAATTGGCTTTTATTTTTATATTTTCAGTTTTCTTTTTTTTTTCTTTTTAGTTTTATTTATTTATTTATTCTTTGTTTAAGGTCTAGTAATTTTGTTATGTGCTTATATTTGTAAGGGAAACAGGTCAATTTAGCTCAAAGGGAATCATTTAAGATTTTAAAGTTTATATATAGCTATTTAAGTTTTAGTTTAAGTAATTTTAGTACTTCAACTGAAAATTATTTACTTCAGTTAATTGCCAAAGCAACATTTCTAATTCCAAGTTTTCGTTTTTCATCTAATATGTATATTTTATTTTGTCTTTATTTCAATTACCGTTATTTCAATCATTTTTCTTTTTATTTTAGTTATATATAATCAATTTCCAACAATTATGAACAATTAAGCTGCTAACATAAAAGAGGACAATATTTCAGTTGAACAAATTAATTTTTATATTCGCTATCTTATTTACAGTTTTATTTACTTAATGTGCTTAAATAAGGTCTACTGCAAAACTACAAGATATTACTGCACAATACACATTTAAATTCATATGATACCATCACTATCTCTCATAAGCTAATTCTTCATGTATTCCTGCATGTGTTGGCATGATTAAATGAAGATTCATTATGAGGAAGAGTTTGTAGCCTTAAAATTAAATGGTGAGGAAGAAGGCATTAGCAGTAAAATCAAAGTTTGTTTGTTCTACCATCACTTTCAAAGACACTTTGTGGAGGGATTACAGTGGAAAAAGTCACAGTATTATTAATGGAGATTGTTCACATTGATAAGCGATGAGTCTCTTCTCAGGCGTGGCCGTGTATCGCAAAACAATGAAAACTCCAGATATCAATTTTCTGGAGGAGCGAACAATGCATGTAATCGATTTAAGTCCAACCCGCAGCATGGAGGCCTTTCGCAGGGCCGCGATCCGTTCACAAGAAAACAGCCTCTCTACTTTTTCTTTAACAGGGCTTTCAAGTGCCCTTGAGCTGGTGGCTGGATGAAATTTAAATCTTAATGTGATTGGTGGAGAGGTAAGGACAGCTTGTGGCAAAATGGTTTTACTAAGAAAGCGAGATAGTGAGAGCAAGCTTGTAAAAGTGGGGAAATACAATTTGAGAGGTCCAGTGTAGCCCATCACAGGTGCTCTCTGAGATGAGAAGACTCCGTCTGTCATCACAGAAAGAGTCTGGTTATAAGCGCTTTTAATATCAAATAGCTGTGAGAATTTATTCATAGGAGGAAAGTGTATTACATCACCTGTAAAGCACCATGTTGCTGTTGCTATAGACATAGTCGGCAATGCATCATATACTGGGGGAAGTCCTTGTAGTGCATTTATTTTTATAGGGAACTGAAGAGAAATATCAACAGATTTGGCTATTTCTGGAAGAAAAAAATAATCATTTTTTTGCAAGATGGTTGAAAAATATTTTTTATGTATTCATGTGCAGTTCTTTATTTTGCAGATTACTGGTTAAGTAAATTTGTATAATATTTCATAACATAAAATGAATCAGTTATTTTATTATTTTATTAATAAATAAATATAATTATTTGTAATTGAAATAAAACCAGAATCAAATATAAATACTGAATGGAAAAAAATATAAGGAATTATTATTATTATTTATTTAAATTACAATTATTTCAATTAGTTCTGGGTTTAGTTAACAAAAACAACACTGAACCTAATTGATGGTTATGTCAGAATATGAACAATTGTGTGGTTAACATAAAACTAGAAGTTACAGAGTTCTTCTGTATTTCAAATGAACAAACTCATTTTATGATATTCAGTTTGTTATCTTACCATTTACTTAGTTATTAACAGAGGCGGACAGTACCTAAGTACATTTACTTGAGTATTGTACTTAAGTACACTTTTTGAGTATCTGTACTTTACCTGAGTATTATTTTTTTCTGGGAACTTATGACTTTAACTTCACTACATTTGAAAGACAAATATTGTACTTTTCACTCCACTACATTTCTATCAAGGTCCTTGAAGTAGAAAGTCGTTACTATGTAGCAGCTTTGAAAGTCAGTGGGTGATTTATGAAGTGATTTCCCAGCATTTTTTGAACACTGATGTGGTATTTATTTACAACAATTCAATAATAAGAAGTTAATATTGTGGTATACATTACACACAATATTGTCTGATTTTGCTAAAATATTCTAAATAGGTTTAGAATCAGACTACAAATTATGCAAAAAACTTAAGATTTGTGATTCCACAGGCGTTTCTTATCATCTTGTTGCTGAATTGCTTGTATCCACTGTAGTCTTCAATGAACTTTTTAAATTCAAATGACTGGAGATAAAAATCTGATTTTCTGCTTTTATTTGAAGTGCAAAACAACACATAAAAGGAGTACTTTCCTTTATAAAAATAGCCAAATCTGCTGGATATTCTTCTCATTTTCGATTGTATCTATTCTAATCAAATGGGTACATGTCAAACCTGAGTGAGAGCTCAATTCTAATTGGGAACAAACCAGTGACACATAAAACGTAATGAATGAGGAAAGTGGCTCGCTTTGCAGCATGTCAACAGTCTAGACTCATGACTTGCAGCACAGTCAGATCTGAGAGCGTGTTTTCCACTGTGCTTATTAACATGATGGCAGCCGCAGCTCTGAAAGAGAAATCCCCAATTTAAGATGAGCTGAGAATATGAGTGAACCGGCTGGAAATGAAGAAAGGGGTTTATTTCAACCGCATTCAAATGGGTTTGGGTTAAGATGGGAAAGAGGATGATCTTTACTAACAAGAGTAAAAAAAGACTAATAGGTTGCTCAGACAATTCTTATGTTATGAAACAAGTATCCTTTACCAAAACCAACTAAGCTGCCTATAGAGGCAGGTTTCAAAGGCATCGTTTTCTTGGCATCTTAATTATGCTTCCCACTAAGATTCCTCATTATGGCCTTTGTAGCAAAGGGACTCCCAGAATGCACTGTGATTAAAACAGTAGGAAATAAATCCAGTATGCCATTATATTATCATATTATATCAATTCTAAATATACATAATTCATTTAATACTGAAAGAAAAATATGGACAGTCTTTGCATTCAAATCTTCATCCAACACAAGCCTTCCACAGTAAAAAGTGACTGTGGTTCTAGTTAGTTTAGTGTAGTAAGGCCACATGAGGGTAGTGTGAATGGGATTTGTAGAAGATAATAAATTAAACAATAAGTCCTTAATGTCCCTCAGGGGTCGGTATCCAGTCCAATGGTGCTACTAAAGGGTTGAACAAGAAATGCTAATCTGCCTGCTTTGAAATACACACATATCTGCAGAACTGTCAAGAAGGAGGGAACAAATCTCTTTATGCCATGCGTTTGCAATCTTTTCCCAGCAAGCAAATGTAATCCGAGGTAATGGTGTGGGGATTACACCCTCTGTGCCTGCTGAAGGGAAAAAAAAATCACTTCCTCTTCTCCATACACACCCATAACCACATTTCACAGGACTGTATCACATCTAGACATACACTACTGTTCAAAAGTTTTGGGGCTGTAAGATTTTTTAAAAGAAATTATTGCTTTTATTCAGCAATTGAATTGATTCAAAGTGACAGTAAAAACGATTATAATGTTACAAAAGACTTATATTTCAATTAAATCCTGTTCTTTTGAACTTTGATAAATGTTTTATAGTTAATACAAAAATATTAAGGAGCACAAGTTTTCACTGATAATAAATGTTTCTTGAGCACCAAAGCAACATATGAGAATTATTTATGAAAGTTCATTTGACACTAAAGTGTCAGCGGACGGGTGAATGGAAGAAGCGAGAACTCAAGGTGCAGGAAGAATGGGTCTTTTATTAATAAAAACCACAACAAAAACTACCCCGAGGGGGAAAACCAGGTAAGCAGGCAGGCCAGGGGCCCGTTCTTCGTACGTCGCTAACTCAGTTAGCTGGATTTGATTGTTGACGATTTGGCATGATCTTGGATTGTTTGGTTCTTCGAAGCTCATCCTGGAGTTGCTGTCATAGCAACAGGTCCATAAGCATAAACCTGCTCAGGAGCAGGCTTATTTAATGTAAACAGGATTAAATTGCATCTTTTTAAGCAGAATTGATACTTAAAATCTGTCCGCTACCACCGCTACTTTATTACAAGAGTACCCTACTAATCCAGGGACAACCATTTAAAATAATGATCATTTAAAAATTCATTTAAAGATAATATAATAATGTTGTGTAGTCTTTAATAATATAGACACAGACAGTTTTACTCACTGAAATATTTATTCGTCATAAAATTAATACTTCATAATTGTATTCGAGTCTTACACACATGCTATACAGATAATGTAGAGTTGTGCATTAATTTAAGTGATGACAGCTATTATGGGAGTGGCTTGACGGAGCGCAGGAGATGCAGATAACATGATCTTGACCAATAAGAAACTTTAACTAATGCTGTCACATAACAAATCTGTAAAGCCTGTACAAATATTACAAATCGTGAATCTAAATAATTGGGAATCATGTAAAAAAATTTAAATAAAATAAAAACAGTGCACATTTCATTTATCTATTATAACATTTACGTAGTTTTGTTCGCTTGGCTGTTTCCTTA